TCCTGGACTCTGAACTCTCCTTTCGGCCCCACATCCAATCACTTTCCAAAGCTTGCCGTCTCAACCTCCACAACATCTCCAAAATAAACCCTTTCGTAACCAATGACACCACAAAGCTCTTAATTCACTCTCAGGTTATGTCTCACCTCGACTACTGCAACTTACTCCTCATTGGCTTACCTTTACATAGGCTATTCCCACTCCAGTCCACCATGAATGCTGCTGCTAGACTCTGCCATTCCCTCCATTGGCTGCCACTCACCCAACAAATTTAATTCAAAACACTAACAACAATTTACAAAGCCATCCACTCAGCTGCCAGCTACATCACTAACCTAGTCTCAAAATACCAACCAAATCGCACTCTTTGTTCCTCCCAAGATCTCCTGCTCTCCAGTTCCTTTGTCACCTCCTCCCATGCTCGCCTGCAGGACTTCTCCCGAGCCTCTCGCATCCTTTGGAATTCCCTGCCTTAATCTGTTCGACTATCTTCTACTCTGTCCACTTTAGGCGATCCCTAAAAACTTTTCTCTTCAGAGCCTATCCTGCCTCCATCTAACAACTGTACATGTATTTTCTCCATCGATTCATCCCTCACAGTTATTACCTTTTGTATCACTTGAACCTCCCCTTTTGGATTGTAAGTTCTAACGAGCAGGGCCCTCTGATTCCTTCACTATTCACTTGTATTGTGACAGTACTGTTTGCCCTCACATTGTAAAGCACAGCGCAAACTATTGGTGCTATATAAATCCTGTATAATAATAATAAACAACCCATAGTATTTTTTTAGCGAAACTACATCTTATAATTTAGCTAACCCATAATACTCTGGGAATCCTTTGTCATGTATTAAATGTTTATTTGTAAAAACAATACGGTAAAACAGTCAAAACTTTTTTTTTTCCTAAAAATAATAAATTTGCCCCAAAACCATTTTAATTACCTTTGTTTCCCTGCTGTTTGGCAGTAATATCTGGATCACAAGAGTAAGTTACAGATTCTTTAGTAAGTAAACTCATATTGTATGTATAGGAATTTCAACTGTATATTTAGCATTTTACCCAGAGTTAATTTTTAACCTTAACCTTATAATTCGACTCCCAAAATGTAAACCCCTTGGTATCCTTGACCTAAGCCCTAACACTAAATCAACCCCTAAAGCACCATATTTATCCTATCAGATCAGATGTAATATCACAATGCAATGCTTTTTTAGGGTCTGCCACCTCTTGTATTTTTCAGGATAGAAAAACACTTATATCTGCCCTGTACAAATAGCATTCCACAGATGATAGCTCCTTATATGCAGACACATGCTCTCGCTGCACGAGTATGCATGATCTAAAAATTGTCACACATGGGGATTTAGTGATTTAGTCAACAATCAAACCCTTGTAAGAGATTTGTTTCACCTATGAAGTACATGCACTCATACTCTTCAGTGCATGTTGATAGATCTCAATAATTTAAAAAAATTGGCAATAATGGTATTTGAGACTCGTGCATGAACAGAATTATAGACACAGTGTAAAAAGATGTACTGTATATCCCTGATTTTTTTTGTCCAAGTCATTTATCCATTCCTTACTCATTGACATAAGGTACTTAATCTGCACTGTTTGCAGGTCACATTAACATTTCATCTCTTAGACTTAAGTGAAAACAGGAACATTGTACTTTACATTAGCAGAACGCTGATGGATGCCAGATTCATATAAATCAGTATGCTCCATCACAGTGCTCTACTAAACATCAACGGTGCAACGCCAGTTAGTTCAACTAAAGCTACTGTTTCTGTACACAGAAAAATGAGAAGTCTACAGTTTTAGTTTTAGTGAAGACTGGGAAGTCAAATAGGAACCTTGGAACTGAAAAGAACTGGCAGGGAATCCTCCATCCATCTGTACAGGTGGAAGAATCTCCTCCGTCAATCTGGAACTTTATAGGGGTTATTCATTAGGGAAAATGCTAACTGTAGCCCTAGTGAATGTGAAACCCCATTGAGCTGATGTTAACTCTACAGGGATAAATTACTAACTAAAAACAAATCTGTCGTCAGTTCATAGTACAGTCTTAACCTTTTGACTGCTAAGGACACATGCTACACATCATGGCAACTAAAGCTTAAAACAAGCTCATGGCTACAATAATTGTTTAAACTTGTTCAATACCTTCTGTTTCATGGATGCATTTGTGATCTGCGTGGAATAAAGTCACCTGATTACTTCTAAAGGTTTGATAGGTGCACAAAAGTGATATGGAGATATGGATGGGATGATGCTACCCAAATGTTAGTTTATATAAAGAATGATGCGTATACTAACATAATTTTGGAGTCTTTTGTATATTTTTTCCAGATCTGTGCAATGATCCAGCATGAAACTTTGTCTCTGTGCAGGAGCTTCCTGTAATCAAGACCAGACATTTCAGATTTCTCTTCTTGTGTGGGATGACTGGTCATTTCTGCAAGCAGCCTGTAGTGGGTGGGCCCAATGGGTCCCTCATACAAGTCTGCTCTCTGCATAAGTTATGTGAGGCATAATGGGGATGACACCGTGAAACAAAAAGTGGATTTATATGCTCTGTGGCTATTGGGGAATATATTTTATTTAGTTTTTGTGCCTGGAGTTCAGCGTTTAGGCTGTTCTACTTAGTAAAAACTGCAGGCATACCATTAGTTAAGTCTAACAAGGTGCCTTCTGCCTAGTAGACATATATCTATTATTCACATCTGGTTTATTGTGCTATAGAAAAATAGCTTCCAGAGCTCTGAGCTGCTCACTGTGGGTCTTAGTTGCCTCAAGAGCAGAACTCATTCACAAAATACAAAGGCTTCTGTGAATGGGCAGTATAAGGGAGGGGTGGGCATAGCTGTTCTGTATGCTTCTCTCCTCTCTCAGTCTCAAGTGTCCCATGTATCCTCTGGGAGTGCAATAAACCTGTCACATATAAGTAATAGAGATAAGTCCTGGATGCCCCTAACTGGACTTAACTCAGTTTTTTGCAAAGTTGTTGAATTCTTGGAATTCAGCTTTAATATCCAAGATAACAACTTTAGCACCATATAGAAGTTCTCTCAATAGGTTTCAGTTTTGTGCCCACATTTCTTGACTAAGCTATGAAGCTGTAACACCCTCCTAGTTAGGTGCTAGGATTTGTATAGTTAGGATAAGTATAGTTGTATTTCTCTGCTTAACAGAGAGACTGTTGGGAAAATCTAGTCCATGAGTTCTGCCTGCCTTCAGAAAGATATGAGAGGCCTCCAGAACCTAGGCAGATGAGCAGCATGAATATGGATACAGCCCTGGCTTATTGCAGGGGACGGTGGTGCCACTGCATGCTGGGAGTGGTATTTATGTTCTGTGAGTACATGGGTTCAGCGTCTTTCCCTGGAGAGGATTGCACCAAGCCAGGCTGGAGGCAGGCTTGCCTTGCCTGGTACTTGCTGCCATGCAGGCCATATGTGGGCAACCTGAGGGCTTGAAGTTAAGAAAAGTGGCCCTGGTTCTACAGTAAGCTGACTGAGGGGAGTTGTCTGCCAGAGATCTGTTTGATATCACTAAAGAGAGTCGCTTGGAAGATTGAAGGAGGTTGCCATTCTGTCCTTGGACTTGAGAGTAAAGACACAGAGATCTTGGGGACTCTGTGTGTTTTGTTACCCCTCTGGTGCTTGATAGTCAGCTGTCAGGGAGCGAGGAGCCAGACACACAAGGAGGTGCAATTAAAGGTAGGTTTATTTACACAGAAACAAGGCAAGAGTCTATGCAAGTCCGACAGCAACAGCGGATGACTTGGTAGGACAGAAGTTCTCCTGCCGAGGTCATCTTCCAGGATAATCAAGTCGAGAACCAGCGGGAATTGTAGCCAAAGCCAGGGTCAGAAGCCAGGAAGAATGGTCGCCAGAGCCGGGGTCAGAAGGCAGGAAGAATGGTCGCCAGAGCCAGGGTCAGAAGCCAGGAAGAATGGTCGCCAGAGCTGGGGTCAGAAGCTAGGAGGAGTCTTAGCCAAAGCCGAGTCGGTATCCAGGAGAGCAAAGAGTTAACTAAACAGGAGCTTGCTGCTGTGCAACAGACAGGACACGAATGCAATGGACAGCTGCAAACAGCAGACTTAAATGTGATAAGCCGGCACCTCCTGGGAGGAGCTGCAGAGGGCTGAAAGCATAAAGGATCCCACAATGCTTTGCAGACCTAAGATGGATGCCTGCACATGGAGCAGCACAAGCTCTGAAGAAAGGTAGGACCTTGATATCAGCGTGGGTCTGAGAAAAAGGGAGCACTGGCTGGTGAAGAGCCTGTCCAACCCTTGCTACTGCAAAGGTTTTTGCTCAGTTCTATTACTTTTGGACTGCCATAGTCTTCCATAACAGGACTGTAACCGAGGAGCTCAGCCCTGCAACTGCTACTACTGCTAAAGAGACTTTACTCACTCCTAAACTACTTCTTACTACAATTTAAAGAGAAGTCCATTTGACCATTCTTCCAGAAGCGCATTTGTGAGATCAGGCACCAATATTGGACAAGAAGACCTGGTTTGCAGTCTCTGCTCTAATTCATCCCAAAGGTGTTCTATCAGGTTGAGATCAGGACTCTGTGCAGGCCATTCAAGTTCCTCCACCCCAAACTCACTCATCCATGTCTTTTTGGACCATCCTCAAACTGTTCCCACAAAGTTGGGAGCATGAAATTGTCCAAAATGTCTTGGTAGGCTGACACCTTAAGAACTCCCTTCACTGAAACTAAAGGGCCAAGCCCAACTCCTAAAAAACAACCCCACACCATAATCCCCCCTCCACCAAACTTTACACTTGGCACAATACAGTCAGGCAAGTATCGTTCTCCTGGCAACCACCAACGCCAGACATGTCTATCGGATTGCCAGACAGAGAAGCGTGATTTGTCACTCTAGAGAACACATCTCCACTGCTCTAGAGTCCAGTGGCGGTGTGCTTTACACAACAGCATCCGACGCTTTGCAATGCACTTGGTGATGTAAGGCTTGGCTGCAACTGCTCAGCCATGGAAACCCATTCCATGAAGCTCTTTACACACTGTTGTGCTAATCTGAAGGCCACACAAAGTTTGGAGGTCTTTAGCTATTGACTCTGCAGACAGTTGGCGACTTCTGCGCACTGTTCGCTGACCCCGCTCTGTTATTTTACACTTGGTGGCTGAGTTGCTGTTGTTCCCAGTTGCTTCCACTTTGTTAGTATACCACTAACAGTTGACCGTGGAATAATTAGTTGCAAGGAAATTTCACGGATGGACTTATGCAACCTATCACGGTACCACACTTGTATTCGCTTAGCTCCTGACAGCAACCCATTCTTTCACAAATGTTTGTAGAAGCAGTCTGCATGCCTAAGGGATTGACTTTATACACCTGTGACTTTATACACCTGTGGTGATGGAGGTGATTGGAACACCTGAATCCAATGATTTGGAGGGGTGTCCCAATACTTTTGGCAATATAGTATATGTGTGTGTGCGTGTGTATATGTATGTATATATATATATATATATATATATATACACACACACGTACATACACATATACATATGCTGTACACTGTAGTTGAAATAAATATTGAACATGTCACCATTTTTCTAAGTTATGTGTAATAAAATGGAATGCCACAGGGAAAAAGTATTGAACACAAGAAGAAAGGGGAGGTGAAGAAAGGCATGGAAAGCCAAGACACCAGCAGAAATCTATCAGTAATTAGAAAGCAATCCTGCCCCTTCTCAGTGCAAATTAATGTCAGCTGGTTCAGTCTCACCTGTTGGCCTATAAAAAGGTGTCATTACCAAGGTGTCACATCTCATGAAGTGTAAAAGTAAAGAGCTCTCTCAAGACCTTCACAACCTTATTGTTGCAAAACATACAGGAGGATTTCTAAACTTCTGAATGTTCCCGTGAGCACTTTTAGGGCCATAATCGAGAAGTGGAAATAACATCATTTCACCATAAACTGGCCACGACCAGGTGCTCATCGCAAGATTTCTGACAGAGGTGTGAAAATAATTATCAGAAGAGTTGTCAAAGAGCCAAGGGGTCAAAACCGTCTGGTGGAGGGGCCAGAACATGGCGCTGTGAAGCTGCAGAGCGCTGGAGCTTCAGACACCTGCCATGAGTGCCACGAGGGAAAAGTCCTAGAGCCTACCTGAGCCTGGTCCAAGTGGCAGCCTGAGTGTCCGTTTGATTGTTGTCCGTGGATCCTGTGGGCAGCTGGTTGTGGCAGAGGGCTTTGCCATGAGATCTGGCAGTCTGCCTGTGCGCTGCAGATCCGTTTGTGGCTGGGCCAGAGGAGCTCCTTGGACCAAGCGGAGTGCAGTTAGAAGGTGCAGCATCCAAAGGAGGAAAGGACGCTGAGAGTGCCCACGAGACCACCTGTGAAGTGGTGAGGGTGGCCGTGGGACTGCCTGAGCAGCGGTGGCTGGAGCCTTGAGATCTGCTGGTCTGCTGGTGAGCTGAAGGATATGCACACGGAGGAAGACCCTTGTGTGTTTCATACAACCTAGAGATACCCCAAGACCCCTGAATGTGGGAGATCCTCTGTAACATCCTGACTGGAAATTCAGACTGAAAAAGAAGGAGTGAACAGGGAAGGAGTAGTCCCGCACTTGTGGTACGTATGGTTATGGCGAGTTGCCACTGTTACCAGAAAAAAAAAGAAAAATCCTTAAAGAACAGTAGTAGCTACTGTAAATAAGTGTCTGTTGGGACGAATTGTGTGGATGGAAAATAACTTTTTTGGGGCATCTCAGGGGGTCTTAGGGACCAGCGGGGCTATTTTCTCTGTACAAGTAAGACACGAGGGGGTACTTGGGACCCTAATAGAAGAAGAAAGAAGGCTATCTCGGGGTCAGCAATTTTGGAATAGAGGAAAACTAACTGTAAATCCTTAAACTAAATGAAGGGTAGACCTGTTAAAGGGGGGGGGGGTCAAAAACACCCCATTCAAATTCAAATGCAAATACAAGCACAATAAGAAAATACATGCCCCTGCAGGAGAAAAGCCCAGAGATCCAATCCCTGGAGAAACAGCATGACGAAATTAAAAAGTATGATGGAGATCAATCTAGACTGTCATTCGGGATACTGGTGGAGAGCCAGATTAAAGAAGAGCTGATAAACAGATAAGAGAACAAGGAAATATGAAACAGCAAGGAGCCATGTCACAAATACTCACAAAAACTGAGATGGTGGAAATGTTCGTGAAATCAGAGCTATCCATGAAAAATGAGATGGGGACACTACGCAAGGATCTGGGCCACATATTAACTCGAGTTGAAAAAGCAAAAGGGAAAATGGAGGAATATATGCATTTAATTAATAAATTAGAAACGCAAGTGGAGGAGATGAGTAGAGAAAAGAGAAAGCTCACATTTAAAATGGGAGACCAGGAAAATCGTAATAGAAGAAATAACTTAAGGATCATGGGTCTACCAGAAGAGGAACAGGAAGAGGATCTATGTGAGATAATAAAGAGAGTGTGTAATCCAATAATGGGAAGATCAGTGACAGTTAAACTGAAAATTGATAGAGTACATTGGATTAGAAGGCCAACTGGAATATCGGCGGAAAGCCCCAGAGATGTAATAGTCCAATTTCATCACTTCGAAGATAGAGAGAATATGGAAAGGCTTGCGTGATTTTACGGAAATAAAATAAAAGGAAACAAACTTACATATTTTTGCGGACATTGCTTCAGAGACACTGGCTAGAAGAAGATATTTGAAACCGTTGCTGGAGCATATGAAAGAGAAAAAAGTTCAATATAATTGGGGCTTTCCTGCATGCTTAATATGATGGAAAGTTTGAAAATCGGCAAGGTTGAGGTTCCCAGAATATCTCCATGACATTTGTGAGAAATTAAATGTACAGAAAATAGACCTTGAAGAGTGGTAATAGGGGCCTAGAGACAGTGGAGGGCATGGGGCAGGAGAATGGCATGGGGTATCTAAGAAGAAGTAGGAAGGCATGGTGTGGGGAGGGTTTAGAGAGAGTCATTGTTTTTTTGGGGTTTTTTTTTTTTTTTTCGTCTCTCTCACTTCTTTCCCCCCAGCCCTCCGCTGGCCGCACCATGGTTCCTCTGCCCCTGGCCCCTTCCTTCCTGGTGGAGATAATGGGGGAGAGAGGGATGGGGGGGCATTGAAAACGTGGTTCTGGTGAGAGGTCTGGAGGCTGGGCATGCGGTCAACTCCAATCTGATAGATGATACGAGCTGGGGAGTCAGCATGCGTGTTCTGAGTTCACCGCGGATTAGGAATCGTTAGTGGGAATAATCTACAACAGATTCCAGGGCAATATATAGGCCAGGGTGGTTTTAGGTGTAAGAGAGGTGGGGGGGGGGGGGTGGAAAAGCAGTGGGGGGAGGGATGAAAATGGGGAGATGTTGTAGGGGAAAGGGAGAAAGTCCATATCTTAAATTGTCTGTATCTGTCTTCCTGCGATGAGAAATCTGGTAGGGTAGCGAAGAAGAAAATGGGGGTTTTTGGTAGGGAGGGAAGGGAGAAAGTCCATATCTTAAAATGTCTGTATCTGTCTTTTTGTGTTGGGAATCCTGCTAGGGTAGGTAAATAATAGTTGAAATGAGCTCGATTAAATTTATGACTTATAATGTGAAAGGGTTAAACTCCCCCAACAAAAAGACATAAGATACTTAGGGAAATTCACCAACACTCCATAGATGTAGTGTTTCTTCAAGAGACATATACTGTATAACCCATGATACAAATGTTAAGTTATACACGAAGCACTACGCAAAGTGGTACTACGCAGACTCTCCAGCTAAAAGGGCTAAAGGGCAAGCAATTGGGTTTTCAAAAAATGTGAGTTTTATCCTGGATGGAAGAATGGAGGATCCAGAGGGCCGATTTCCAGAGGGGAAAATTACAAGGATCTGAATATACACTAGTTAATATCTACTGCCCGAATAAAAATCCAGTAACATTCTTGGAGGGAGTGTTAAGAAAACTTTCTGAATTTAAAAAGGGTAGTCTGGCTGTGGCGGGAGATTTAAATCTGTGTTTGGATTCTCAGATGGATGGGTCATCTTGTACATAGAGAGGGGGGGGTAGGAAATCAACATTATTGATGAGGTTATCATATCAGTGTCAACTGACCGATACTTGGAGAGTAAAACATCCAAGAGAAAGAGATTACACCTTCTTCTCTCCGGTACATGGATCGTATTCAAGACTAGATTATATAATGATCGAACATAGACAACTATGTCTATGTTGGCACTGGTTAGTGCCAACATATTGGTTACGTCTATTTTTGATGATGCTCCTGTCACAATGAGACTACGGGTAGGAGGGGATCAGGATAAGATAACTATGTGGAGACTAAATGAGATACTTATACAGGATCCTGAATTAGAGAAAAGGTTTAGGTAGGAAATTGAGCAATTTTTTGAGCTCAATGAGATGGAGGAGGTGTCGGTGGCTACAATCTGGGAGACACATAAAGCATATATTGATTTCGATTGGAGCAGAAAAAATTAAAGAACGAGGGAAAAAAATAAAGACAGTGACGGAGGAGCTCTACAAGTTAGAACAGTCACATAAAAAGAAGACAGGTACAGATGTATATCAGAAGATAATTATTAAAAGAGAAGAATTAAAAGATCTTATGGAACAGGAGTCGAAAGGATATTCAACAGGGTCTCAAAAGAAATATATCAGTGTGGGAATAGACCTGGAAAATACTTGAGGAGGAAGCCAAAGGAAAAGAAATCCAAAAACTTTACAGAAAAAAATTAAAGACGACAAAGGAGAAATGGTGTACACCACCAGTGATACTGCCAATAGGTTCCAAAAATATTATAGCCGGCTGTACGATGTGAGCTCTAGAAATCAAATGGAAATGGAGAAGGAAAGGAAGAAAAACAGACAGAAATATTTAAATGAAGTGGAGTTGCCAAAAATAGCAAAAGAAAAAGTAGAGGCCCTAGAGAGATCTATTACTCCGGAGGAAATCACCATGGTTATAGGAAAGAGCCCTGGCGTGGATGGATATACTGTGGGTTATTATAAAAAAATTAGAGATATCCTAGTCCCTAAAATGTGTGGATATATGAATGCAATAGGGGAGGGGCTGGAAATGAGGGAGAAGTAATTGCAGGCACATATAACGATTATACTCAAAGTAGAGAAAGATAGCACACAGTGTTCCAGTTACAAGCCCATATCCTTACTAAACATTGACACTAAATTGTACACTAAGGTATTGGCAACCAGACTGAAGGAGTTGATGCTGGATTGGATACACCTCGATCAGCTAGGCTTCATTCCTGGAAGAGAAGGTAGGGACAATGGCCTGAGATCATTGCTCCTCCTACATAGGGTAAAAAGAGAGAAACTGCCGACATTATCCGGTCAATTGACGCCGAAAAGGCTTTTGGCAGGGTTAACTGGGGTTTCATGATCGATACGTTAGAGGTATAAGAAATAGGGCCTAAAATGTCAAGGT